CAATTGCCAAAGCTTCTAAAAATAACAAAAGTGAGTGGAAGACTTAGGGGAATTTTTATCTCAGCTGCAAAACCAGGAGTGGGCATGATGGACTAAGAGGGACCAAATACACTCTCCCACCTTAAGCAACAACAAAAAGCCAGACAGATGTATAAGAAAAGGGATTGTAGAAACCGGGCAATCGGCACTGCAAGACAGTGATCTTAGAGACAAGGGAAGCCAATGAGATGAACGACCCTGAAAACTGCCCCAGCTTACTGCCTGGGCAGAGTTTTCATGCCACAGTAGGACAACGGGGGAGCGGGGGTGGCCCAGATGGAGCCCAGAAGTACCCCTGAGTTGAAAAAGACAGACCTGATAACTGGAGGAAGCCAAGGCAGCTGGAATTTGCGAAGCAGAAGATGGGAGAGCAGAGAGCTCCACATATGAAGGGGACAGAATCATGAAAGCTGCAAAAAGTCCCCTCTGGTCTTCGCCAAAATCCACCTCAGCACATGTGTTAAGAGAAAAGTACCCCAAGCAAGGGGAACACCCACTGGAGAGGAGCAGGTAGAACAATCCCCAGAGCTCACACAAGGCAGAAAATAGTTGGTATTGACACCAGCTGGCAAGGTTTGGAAAACATCACGTAATGTGTCAGGAACTGGGCAGAGTATTCAGTACTGGGGAAAAAATGAGCTTTAACCTAAAGGTTGTTCTGGTTCCACCCAAGAAAGCATAAAAGCAAACCTCAGAAAAAAATCAAAGTATTTCCAAATGACATAATTGCATCCCAGAATAAAGCTCAAGAAAATTTTTAGAAAGCAAAACCATCCAGCACCCAATAATGAAAAACTTAGAATGTTCGTCATCCCCCCAAAATTGTCAAACATGCAAAGGAGACAGGACATAACAACCCACAATGAGGAGAAAAACCAACCAACAGAAACAGACATGGAAATGATACAGACGACATGATTAGTAGAGACTGAGGGCCTTAGAACAGTTAATAATAACTATTTCCCATAGGTTCAAGAAAGTAATGAAAGAACAAGCATTGTAAGGAGAGACATGGTAAAACCACACAGAACAAAACCACCAGCGGTCCTTCACTCCAACTCCTCATTCTCTGATAGTCATTAAGGTAATTAGTTACTAATTCCCTTTAAAGAAAAAGTAGGGGTATCTTTATTTTTTAAAATACTGTGTGGGTAGGTGTTGCCCTGGTATCCAAAAAAACTTATTTTGTGGCTTGACTTGTTAAACGCTTTTCATCTCAGCAAATTTTGGATTGCAATAGGCCTGAGGTAAGAATTTGCAACCTCAGAACTGCCCATGCAAAGGAAATAAGTGGCTAGAGGTTCTGGAACATCTCACTAAATGCCAACTACTTCTCTTTTTCCCTTTTCCTTTTTTTTTTTTTTTTTTTTTTGGTCATTTCTCCTTTCATATTTTGATACTGTTGTTGCAAAAGGTATGAATTTTAATAATTAATACACAACATGAACTCAAAGTATTACACAGACGGTCTTGACATAGATTGGCAGGATTGTTAGAGCCCCAATTTTTTTTATTCTACTGTGGTAAAAAATATAGAGAGAGAACATAAAGTTTGACATTTCAATCATTTTTAAGTGGCATTAATTATATTCTCAACATTGTGGATGTAATTTTCCAAAACTATTTCATCACCCTAAACAGAAACTTTCAAACCATTAATTAATTAATAACTCCCAACACCTCACATTCCCCCACTCCCATGACTGGCCCCTGGGAACTCCTGCTTTCTGTCTCTAGGAATTTGCATATTGTACGCTCCTTATATAAGTGGAATCATACAATATTTGTATTTTATGACTAGCTTCTCTCAGTATAATGTTTTCAAGGTTCATCTGTGTTATAGCATGTATGAGAACTTATCCCTTTTTTATGACTAAATAATGTTCCATTGTCCATATATGCCACTTTTTGTTTATCCCTTCATCTATTGATGGACATGGGTTGTTTCTACCTTTTGGTTAGTGTAAATAATGCTGCCATAAAAATTGGCATAGAGGAAACTCTCTATTTTCAATTTGACTGGGTATATACCTAAAAGTGGAATTGGTGGGACATATGGTAACTACATATTTAGTTTTTTGAGAACCTGCCAAGCTGTTTTCCACACTGCTGCACCATTTTCCATTCTCACCATCACGTACGAGGGTTCTAATTTCTCTATATCCCTGCCAACACCTATTCCTCCCCCATTTTTTTTCATCATAAGCATCCTAGTAGATGTAAAGGGCTATCTCATTATAGTTTTGATTTGCATTTCCCTAATGGCCATGATGAGGAGACTCTTTCATGTGCTTACTGGCCATTTGTATATCTTTTCTGCAAATGTCTATTCAAGTCCTTTGCCCATTTTTCAATATTAAAAACTTACTGGTTCTATGATTTGCAAATATTTTCTTCCATTCTGTACGGATTTTTTTTTTTCACTTTCTTGATAATGCCCTCTGAGATACACAAATGCTTTTAGTTTGGATGATGTCCAATTTTCCTATCTTTTTTTAATTGCTAATGCTTTGGGGGCCATATCTAGGAATCCACTGCCAAATTAAATATCAGGAAACTGACCCATGTTTGCTTCTAAGAGTTTCATGATTTTAGTTCTTATACTCAAGCCATTGATTTACTGTGAGTTAATCTGTGGACATGATGTGGTTCAGGGGTCCAACTTCACTCTTTTGCATAAGAAAATCCAGTTGTCCCAGCACCATCTGTTGAAGACAGAATTCTTTCCCAACTGCATGGACTTAACACTCATATCAAAAATCCATTGGCTATAGATGTATGGGTTCATTTCTGGACTCTCAATACTATTCCAATGGTCTGTATATCTATTCTGATGCCAGTATCATACTGTTTTGATCCCTCTAGCTTTGCTTAAGTTTTCAAACATTGTTCTTCTTTTCCAAGATTGTTTTGACTACCAGGGGTCGCATGCCATTCCACAAAAATCTGAGTATCTGTTTTTTTGTTTTCTTTTTTTCATTTTTGCAAAAAAGGATGTTGGAATTTTCAGAGGAATTGCCCTGAACCTGTACATTGCTTTGGGCAGAATCTCAATACTAAGTCTTCGTATCCATGAACACAGACTATCTCTTGCCAATTTCTTTTGATCTAATGGAAAGTGAATTCAGGGCAACCAGTCAAAAGATCTCAATGACTATACAATACTGTACTCTCGTCCCCTGACTTAACGTGGCTTTCATGTCTCCACTCTGTGATGAAATTATGATTAACTAATCCTGGAATAATTTCCAGGGTGAGTGAGATCTCATATTAAAAACAAAACAAAAGCTCAGAGGAGCTAATTAAGTATTAAGTATTTTTAACAACTTAGGTAAGAAATACTGCTTTATTATTATAATTTATAGCTCCATCACAAAGTTAATGAAACATATACATAACACACAATGAATATTCTTACACACAAACATACGCACACAGCAAAACACTGAGTTATATTCTTTATTTGTATAATTGATATTAAACCTTATTAGAAGAGGAGACAATTATCTAATATTAAGAGTATTATAAAAATAATTATATTTTGTGTATTCCACTTAATTCTTTTAAGAATTCAACGTTCCATATATCAAGTCTCATTCTAAATATCTCAGACTTTCCTGAGAGGTATGTCTTGGGACTGTCCACCTTGGATGATGGAGAAATATATGGGAGATTATAAGGAATGACTCAATGTGCTGCAGTGGGCTCCAACCTTTTACGCTTATGAACACCCCTAAGTTAAGAAAAAGTTTTGAGCACACTCCTAAAATAGAGGTGTTTATAAATTATATACTTGAACTACTCCCAGCTTGTTAAATTATTAGCAAACCTTCATTTCTTTTGTTTTTAGACAAAAAATAGTAAGTTCTAATATTTTTTTCCTGCAACACACCGAATCATCTTGTATCCCAGGATGAAGACAACTGCTTTAGAGTATTAAAAAAGGAGGGAGACAAGGGGCAAATGTTTTTAATCCTTATTCTATGCCCTAGCTCGCTTATTCTTCTTGAAACTCAGAGACTCTGAATTTCTGTCTCTTTCTTGAGAGTACTGTATCACTTAAACTGTTAATGTTCCTTCACTGGTATCACTAATAAAAATGTCTCCCTACTTCATCATTTTATAAGAAAGCTTCCCAGTGTTGCTTTTAAGGTCAAGAATCCTGTTCTGTGACATGTTAGGTTAGAAGACAAGAAAGCCCAGAGGATCAGGTGGCTCCCAGGAGTGGCAAAGGAGAATCTGCCCTGTTGGCAGATAGGAGGCTGGAGAGTCGTCAGGGGCAGGTCTGGGGGCTGACAGTCCCCTCAAGAGGTATGGTACATTACCACAAGGATTTTTCCTTTGGAAATCAGTCAGGAAATAAAACTCCTTCTCTTGCCAAGTTAAGTGGCTGGTCACTCATCCCTTCCAACAGAAATATAATGGCAGACAGGGATTGTTACCAATCTCACGGGCAAAGAAATTACAAAAAGCCCAAAGTTAAATGATGTCATCTTCCAGTGGTAGAACTGTCGGACTACTTTTCTCATTTCCCACACTGAAAATAAAAGTATTATCCCTTCCCCTTGTAATCTTTTGTTTCTAAGGTGACACGTACTCCCACCCACCTTATTATGTGTTAAACCACATTTTGGGTCACACTAGAAAACAGAATGAAGCCATCAGGCCAGGCTCACACATGTGTGCTGCGGGAGAGGGAACTGTAATGCTTGCATAGACCAAGTGATGGGACGGGATAGGAGTGTTGGGAAAGTGATACCTGACCCAAGCGATGTGCGGTCTGGTGGTTTTGTCCGATTTTTTTTATTATTATTGTGTTATGTTAATCACCATACATCACATCATTAGTTTTTGATGTAGTGTTCCATGATTCATTGTTTGTGCATAACACCCAGTGCTCCACGCAGAACGTGCCCTCCTTAATACCCATCACCAGGCTGTCCGATTTTTTTTAAACTTACATCGCTGAGCCTTTCCCGAGAGCTGCTCCTGTGGAAGCCCTTGGATTCTCCACTGGCACTGTCACTGTCACTGTCCCTGCAGCTGTTCTGGCCTGGCTTGAGCTAAAGGAAAAAGAAAAAAGGAAAAAGAAAAAAGTCAGTGGTCTCCTCGCACAACTGCTCCTTTGCCCCCATGTTCTTCCAGTCTTGTCAAAAGTGAACAACTTAACGTCCTGCGTTTTAACATTCTTCTCAGCTTCTGTGTCGTGCCAAGCGAGTGGCCACAGGAAGAAACATGGAGAAGGAGAAGCAAAACATTTACCATAAAATGTCAGTGTAAAATTTGAGTGAGCAAGCCTACACACACAAAAAAAAACAAAAAAAAAAAACACTTGACAAAAATCTAACAAAGGTCCATGAATCTTGGAAAGTAATCGTCCCTCAGATTTGTCCTCTGTTCCACAGGGAGCTTTTCTGTCAATAAAAAGACCAAAAATCACTGAATTAGCTAAAGTCAGATTCAACTATGGTTGCCTGTCCTCCTCTGAAGAAAGAATACAACAAAACAGGAAAAAAAAAAAAACAATGTTTTCTTTTCCTAGGAGAAAATGATGAGATGCTGTGTGTTACTGTTTCACCACTGTGAAGACACTGATCCTGATTTCTGAGACGACATTCTGGAGGTCTCCTGACAGGTATTTAAGAGTACCCAGAATAAGACCTACAGCTTAAGTAATTAAGCCACAACTCATTCAAAAAGTATGTATTAAGCGCCACATCTGGACCTGGTAGTAAGAGCTGGAAATATGATGCTAAACCAAAAAAAAAAAAAAGTCTCTGATCTTACGAAGCTTACATTTTAGCAGTTTCTACACATTTACCCAGCTCTGATTTTCATGTTCAGAAAATTCTACACATTCACCCATCTCTGACTTTCATGTTCAGAGAGTTCTACACATTTACCCACCTCTGATTTTCCATTAAAATGAATAAACACATAGAATTTCAAACCAGTAGTCTATTTGAAACTAGAGACACACACATATGGACCATTAACCAACATTGTCATCATCAACACTGACCACCTTTGGAGAGACCCCAAGCAATCTGATGCAGGTTACAATTCATAGCCCTTTTATAATGCTCTCAATCTAACAAGAGAAAGACTGCAAGACAGGCAAATATAACAACATAAGGAAATACACAATAAATGGAACACCAAAAAGTAGCCAGTGACATTAGGAAGAAAAGTAATCTCTGAAGCCTTGAATTTTAAAAGCAGATTGAGCTCATATGGCTGAGAGGAGACGGGAAGATACTCTTGATGGGAGAGAGGCAGAAAGCAAAGGCAGGAAAGCAACATGCTAGGAAATGATCAGAAGGAGTCTTATCTGAAACAGAGATTTCCTTCTGGGAGGAAATAGGAAGAAACATTACAGAGGGGTACATGGATCAGACATGGAAAGTCTCAAACAAAACACAAGCCCCATGCTTCTGGGCAGGAGGGAATTTCAGAGAGAAGAACAAGAAATAGGTAGCAAAATTTTTGCCTGCAGGTTTTCATGTGGCTCCGGGGCCAAAGGGGAATGTGAACCAAGACAAATGGAGAATGAATCTGAATCCGCATTCCCTGTCTAATGCGCCTCTTTTAAAAACTGCAGTTCAGATCCCACCTTGGGTCACACCATCTAATAAGCTGTCCCCAAATCCCCACTATACAGAACTTTTTGCTTTCAGCCTTTCTACAAATCCACTTTTATCACTTTCTTCTAAAAATCCCTTTCTCCAGAAGTCTTCTCTAATGGAACCCAGAAAAATGATACTCATTTTAGTTTGTATCCTCCTGGGCCCTTAACTACTTAGTTTCCTTCTAAATTACTGCTAAATCTGCTAATTCTAAGTTAATTCAGATGCAAGCTATATGAGCCTTTTCTTATTACTATGGAAAAAAAGTTCAGAATATTGTCATTCTCTTCAAGTTTTCCTTTTTATACTTATAATAAAGTGGAATTTAATCTAAAATGAAAATCACTTTCTCTCAATTTCCTGAACATGTCATGTCCATTTCTGTCCTGCATCTGTCTCTTCACCCTAGATTTCCTCAACCCGTAAAGCTCACCCTCACCTTCTCTGTGCTTTCCAGGTCAAAACTGCTTTGAAAGCTCAGACATGATCCACTATATTCTTTGAAGAGCTAGCTAGCTTGTTTGCTTGCTTGCTTGCTTGCTTGCTTGATATGCCTTCAAAGTTTACATAATATATCATTCTTCATTAATGGCCTTTGATAATTATGATACATTTTCAAGTTTGAAAAGGCTTACTGTTAAATAAATTTGACCTATGATAAAACCTATACATGGAGTGGACAATTTGTAGGCCATGTCATAATTTTTATATTCCTGGATATCTGAGTTAAGTAAATACAGATAAAGCTACCTCCAATGTGTGAATGAGGAAACAAATAGAGCAAATGATGTCCTCAGAATTAGGCAAGAGGTCTAGGACTCAATCCATGTCTATACTGCTTACTGCTCTCATTTTACTTCTTAGAACCCGTCTAGATGTCAGCATTTCACATGGAAATAACAAGTCTGCAGTATATTAGTAATTCTCAATAGAATATGTTTTTAATATATTTGTGGTACGTGACTTCATTCACAAAGAAAGAAATCTTATAAGGTGATATTTAATCAAGAGATGTTTATAAAAACTCATCCCCTCAAAGCTAGATGAGAAATAAACACCCAGCAGGGAATTAACAGTATAAGAGCACAACGATTTCTCCTGATATCCATCCACCTGGCTTCCCAAAATCTGGACATTGCATTTGGGTCTCTTCCATGTTTCTTCATGGAAGGAAAGTGATGACTTCAACAGGCCTGACAAGAGACTTCAGTGGCTCTGATGTATATCATCTGGCTAAATGTTGATGTAGGCTAAGGGCAAAACCCAAGAAGGACTGAGACGAAGCAGCTTCCTGGCCTTCCCTGGGCCCTGCCAGCAAAAGCACTTTAGTGAATTCTCTTCGGAGAGCCTTACATAAAATCCACCCCCACACCACCCTTTTCTCCTCCAAAGCCAGGCTCAAGTTTAAAGGAAACTTAGGATTTTAAGCTGTCAGCTCAATATTTCAAAGAAATGGATTGACCACAGTAAGTACTAAAGCTAAACCACAAGATTTCAGGCAAAGAAGTATTCATTCCTAATCCCATGAATACATTTAAAACTGGCATTTTTAGCCATATCCAATGGATCATTTGGCGTAGCACAGCTAACTTAGAAGTTGTAATCCTTCACCTGAAATTCCCAGCTATTACCTACAACCAAGAGACATTACAAAGGCCAGGTGCTGGCTTAAACATTTAAAGACCTAAAGAAAATCGATCCACCTGCATTGATTTGTCCTAGCATCCATGGCAGCTGTTCTAAGAAAGCTTTTGCTAAAACAGATGCAATGAGATTTCTTACTATCACCTTTTAGATACTTTAAAATACCTTGTTTATTTAAAAATTACTGTAATTCACTCTTATTTGCAGAAGTTATTCCCCTGAGAATATTATATAATTTAGGCATCCGAATTTAGAACAAAACAGATGAAATAAAAGGAAGCTAGTTTCTGGCATGAGTGGTAGTAATCCTATCAATAAGATTAACAATTTTTATAAAACATAAGCTGGCTTGTTTCCCATTAGATTTCACTGTCAACAATATATTCAAAAACTCTGAAGCTGTGATCCTGTTAGAGTTAACTGTTATTAATGGCTAGTTAGGAAAATAACGATCCATGGTTTTATCGCTGCTAATGAACATGTAACGAAATCCCATCACCCTGGACCCAGTGAAGGTGGAGCAGTTCTGTATACCCCCTGCCAAGATTTGTGAGCCGGGCTATGCCACTCTTTTCAGCTTCAGTATGGAGAGCTCAAGATGCTAGATGCTCAGTAGGTGTCATTAATTCTTCAAACAAAATTCACAGAAGGATAAAGCAGATGGAGAAGACACCTATGCCTGAAACTCAAAAGAGGAATAAATGTGAATTATGCACTGCAATGCAGAAAAGCATCCAAAAGTAATCTCCTACCACCGTTTTGGTTTTTCAAAGCAGCATAAATCCTATCTCAGACTGCTGAGCTTTCCTGCAGGGATCTGGACTCCACACAAGGTTTTAAAAATATGTGAATAAGGACAGACTTTTCTTTTTTCAATGAAATTTTGTAACATTCCTAACATAAAAACAGCAAGTATTTAATCTTGTAAAAATGTTGGTTTTTTTCAAAATTAAACTTTCCCTATTTGTTGGAATCTTCCCCATACATTGGGTGGTATTTGTACTATTTTTACATTTTTTTTTATTTGGATATAGTTGACACACAATGTTTTATTAGTTTCAGGTGTACCGCATAGCGATTCAACATTTCTATATGTTACTATATGCTCCCCACAAAGGTAGGTACCATCTGTCACCACACAACACTATTATAACACCATTGACTATATTCCTTTGCTGGATCTTTTATTCCTGGGACTTATTCATTCTAAACAACTGGAAGTCTGTATCTTCCACTCCGCTTCTCGCATTTTGCCCATCCCCTCATCCCACTTTCCTCTGCCAAATGTTGGTTTGTTTTCTGTATTTAAAGGGCTGATTCTGCTTTTTGTTTATTCATTTGTTTTGTTATTTAGATTCCACATGAGTGAAATAATATGGTGTTTGTCTTTCTTAGTCTGACTTATTTCCCTTAGCATAATACCTTCTAGGTCCATCCATGTTGTTACAAATGACAAAACCTCAGACTTTTATCATTATATGGCTATATAATAATCCAGTGTGTATGTGTGTGTGTGTGTGTATCGCATCTTCTTTATCCATTCATCTACCAGTAGACATGTGGGTTGCTTCCATATTTTGGCTACTGTAGATAATGTGCAATAAACATAAGGGTGCACATATCTTTTCAAATTACTGTTTTTATTTCCTTTGGGTAAATACCCAGTAGGGGAATTACTGGATCATATGGAACTTCTATTTCTAACTTCATGAAGAACCTTCATACTGTTCTCCACAGTGGCTGCAGTACATCTGTACTATCATATTCCTTGGGTTTTAAAAGATATTTAAGAC